CTCGTTTACAGGTGTCAAATCCGTCATCGTAAATGCAATGAAATTGCGGTGAGACAAAACCTGTTTTGGTGTTCAATACTAATGGTACGCTGGATGCATGATTTGGTGAGTGGCATAAAAAGATACCGACTCGAGTGCGACCAGTCCACTTGTTGTGAGATTTTAGGGCTTGCAAATTGTCAGAAAGCACATAAACAGGAGATCCAAAGGGATGGAAGTGTTCCAGGTTTGGTTCGACTTCCACTTGGGACATCTTCAAGATTGGAGATTCCTCGTACTTGGCCAGTTGCTTCCGACCATTCACTTTGATCTCCGATGAGAATTTGGTAGGTAATGCATTTTTGAGATTGACGTAATGTTTCAGAGCGGCAGGCCAAAAGTGAGACGTGAATTGCATCAGGCCATCGGTGAGCAGCATGAATCAAGGCAGTTCGAGCTCCCTCAGTTACATGGCATCTTTGATTCTCCTTTCAGCCTTTCCATTTTGATGGTGAGCATTCACTCCGCAGAAAGTAAGCCTTGCCCAGCCTTTTCAACTGAAGTTCGAAATAGTTTAGTATCAAACAAACCGTTGTCTGCATGATAGTGTCTTACAGGAACTCCATGTGTTGCACATTCACGTTCGAACGCTAGTTTTGCTAATACCGTAGTTTCCGCAGTCATTTCCGTCATAAGGTGGATGTAGGTGAAGTCACTGAAGTGGTCGACAAAAACTGTCGCCCCAGTGTATCTCATAGTAGTAGGAGTTCCTCGATGAGTTGGAACAAATCCTGGTGTCGGGCTTGCAAGTTGATCAACACTGATGACCTGTCCTGGATGAGTTGCAGGTTTGATTTGCCGTTTGTTGGTTCCTTTGTATCGCCATGGTTTGCGATGAGCTTTTCCCTAAGCGCATCCGGGGCATGTTGGAGCGTCCACATTCGCTAATTCTCGAGGTATTAAACCAGCTCTAGCCATGAGATTGAGTTTGGCAAAACCAAGGTGTCCGTATTTTTCATGCAATATGAACAATCGGTGTTGTTTTCGTCGTACAATTTCAACCTCTGGATCATATGTTTGCGCTCCTTCGGAAACGTGCGGTTCGTCAAAAGTAATTGCTCGAGGTTCAGATTCTGAAATAGGTGAAGAAGTTAAAGTGTTAGATTGGGCCCCCTCAGAAGCTGAGATGTCAAACTTCTTGTATCGGGCTCCCTCGGTATTTGTTTCAATCGAGACTGCATTTGGTTCAGTCAAAACAGAGATATGACTTGGTGCACCAGGCACTCCCTCAGAAACGGAAGTGTCTTGGGAAACAGTGCTTCCAGCATACGCTTCCCAATGATGACGGTCGCAGTCACACGAAGTGGTAGACATGCAAAAGTCTTTGTATCCTGTTTCCGATCGGAATGTGAATAGGTCCCTGTCATTTATTGGCACAACAAACTCAGTTGCTTGAGTTTTGCCCGGAAGAGTATACTCAAAAATGTATTCTTTGTCGTTGTGAGTCGGCCATTTTGGATTGTAACCGGCAGCTTCAAGTTCTTTGTATAGGAGTTGCGGTGGAATGAGGTTGAAAGGGGAATTTGGGACAAACACGGCATCAGCTTTGAGTTTTTCATCGATGTTTGGTAATGGCAACAGTAACTGGCCCACACCTAGCATGTCAGCTCGAATTCCTCCGATGCCCTTGACACCTGCTAGGACGGATTGAAAATACGAGAGCAAGTGTTTAGCATTGACAATGATTCTGTTGGCGCCGCTGTCAAGAAGCCATTCTGTACTGTCAGTGTCGGCTATAAAACAAAACGGTTCATTTCGAATGCCTTTAGGAGGAACGGAATCAATTGTTGTAGGAGTAGTTGCGGTGGAAGTGTATGCTTCGGTGATGCGCTGAATCGAGGTATCAATTAGCCGGTGTTGTCTAGAAGTGTCCAAGGAAGAACCAGGGACCAGTGCATGAGATGTGCCAGATATGGCATAGACTTGTGAGCGGTCAAGCAGGCCGAACAAGGTGAGAAACCAAAAGAATTGCTTCCACGAACGAGAGGGTCGTTTAAAAGAGTGTTTCTTCAAAAAACGAGCTTGTTTGATTTGAAGTTGCGCGTATGGGCAACACCATTGTATAGGAATACGAACGTTGGAGAGCGTGGCGATGGAAGAATCGCGATATGTGACTTGGGCGTCGAAAAGTGAGACGGAGAATAGCGGACTCGCGAGAGATTGCGGAGATCCAAGGAAACATTCCTCCCTCTCTTTCCATCGGATAGGGAACCAATATGGAAGAAAGTGATACCAGAAGGTACAAAGGTTAAGGTAGGTGGCAAAGCGCCAGCGGGAAAATACGTAAAAAGGTAGCCGATGATGTTGGTGAATGAAGGGCAACGCAAGATGGCCAAAAGTATGAGATACCGGAGGGTATAAAGGATGAGGTACCAGAGGGTACAAAAGTGAAATCGGAGGGAAAGAAGTTTCCAGCAAGAAAGTACGGTCCAGATGTGTCTGGCTGCAAAAGAAGGCCAATGAAAGAAGGCAAAGAGGTACCAGTGGGTACAAAGGTGAAGACGGATGACAGAGAGACTGTCACGGATGAAGCTGATGGCAAAGGAAGGCCAATGCATGAATGCATAAAGGATGCAAAAGAAAGCAGAGCAAATTAGAACATTAATGCATTGATAGAATCGTCAAGTCTGATGCAAGGCGGAGAGCGCCTCAGAAATGACATCATGAAGTGCGTCGTCATCGCCAATCACCGAGAGTGCATTAGCAAGAAGCGCAGTTACACCTGAAGTGGCGTTGCTGGCAGCAGAACCTTCCTGGATTGGAATTTCAGATTGAACATCGCCTGCATTGGCTACAGCAGGAGCTGCAGCTTTTTCTTCCAACCAGGCCTTGCGGATTTTGCAGTCGGCAGTAGGATGGGTGTGCCATTTGAGGTTGCTACGGTGTTTGGGACAACCGCAGAAATGCCAAGTTGTAGCGTTATACGTTTTGGTATCGCCAATAACATATGGTGTACCTCCCTCGGATTCGGGCTTCTTGAAGTGTCGGACAAAGGGAGGCAATTTGTCTTCCGTAGCAGGGGTCTTAGGAGCAGCAGCTTGTGCAGCTAGCATCTGTTGTAGCAGCTGCAAGGTTTGCGCAATGTTGGTGAATGCTTCATCTTGTTGATCAGCCATGTTTCGTCGTGTTCGGGCAATGATCTGATGATTCTGTGAAGCACGATTGGGCTTAAAAGGATTTGAAGGTGGAGCGCGATAGGGCTCAAAAGGGTAGTTGTCAAGGTTTAACAATGGAGTGCTGAATACTCAAAAGTACGATTTCGTGAGGAAGATCTTCCGTTAGGAATCATTGGGCTCAATAACCTGTGAATATATCGTTGTAATGATGTAAAGTAAAGATTATGATTTTAAAACAACAAAGAAAGAGAAAACCAGAGATAGGTGAAGTTGCGTATCGAAGGATCAAAGATCCTTTGAACACGCACTTGAGACACGAAGCGGATTGAGAGAAGTGTATCAAATAAAAGATCCTTCAAGTACGCATTTGAGACACGAAACGGATCGACTCTCTTGATTCATGTGTATGACTCTGGAGGTTAATCTCTCACCTCCATACAAATTCGACATCATGGAAATTTATGGAAGTTCGAAACCAGCAAACATACTTTTAAATGTGACAATAAACCTACTTTTCATAGTTCGATTCAAATGAAGCTAGAAATTAATTGTCTGAGGAAAATGAAAACAAATGTTCAATGATGTACTACTAGGTAATTTTTGAACGAATTCCAATTGTTTGTTTGTTGAATTTGTATCTAGAAGGATAGCATACAAAGGCATCAAGCGACGACATCAAGCAAAATGCAGGCTAACAATTCACCGCAAAAGATATCAAAATGAATTGAATCAATAAATGATACATACATGGATGGTGGTTTTTGAAGCAAGAAGAAAGCGTCTTGCAGCTTTTCCTGGTTTGTACTACTAATGTGAACGATGTGAAATTCAAGGAAACAGTGAAGCACGATATGATTACGTTAAACCCTAGATTAGTAGTCACATGAGAGCAACATTAGACAATCAAGTACCAAAGAGGATGACATAAAATAGCTTGTTGTAAGAAGAAATTGTTTAGGGCAAGCTCATTTTCCAAACGATTTTTCCAAACGATTTTTTGTGACTCCAAACGATTTTTTGTGAACTCTGTTAATCCCTGCGCGGAGGGACGCGCATGCCTATCTCCGACTGCATCTATCAAGCATTCCGTAGCACCCATAACTTATGTAGAACATGGCTTTGAGCACTACTTCAATAGTTCTACAGAATTATCCCTTGACAAGAATGGTGTAGGTGATTCCCTCCAACTCGGGAGTGTCGTATATATATATAACTGAATCATTAAATGGTTTTTATGCTACTTCTAGAGTATCCAACTGCCGGTGTAATACGGCTGTAGAGGCCAGGAACTATGCTGCTTTTAGTCAGATAAGTTTGAACCACGTTGAGGCATTTTTCAAGAAAAAAGTTGCTCTAGTCGATCATGTCAGGGGACAAATCGGCGCTCCCACTGTTGGTGGGGAAGTACAAACAAGATGCAAGGATTTCTCCTGGGATACAGAGGAATTTTGTGGGTACCTTTTCCAAGG